CCCAGCACTTTGAGAGGTCAAGGTGGGTGGATCAACTTGAGGCCAGGAGTTCAAGACCAGCTTGGCTAACATGATGAAACCCCATCCCTACTAAAAGTACAAAAAATTAGCCAGGTGTGGTGGCATGCGCCTGTAGTCCCAGCTACTCGGGAGGCTGAGGCAGAACTGCTTGAGCCTGGGAGGCAGAGGTTGCAGTGAGCTGGGATTGCTCTACTGCACAGAACAAGACTGTCTCAAAAAAAAAAAAGAAAGAAAGAAAGAAAACAAAAGCAGTAAATAAATTTATATTTTTAAAGGACTTAGATTTAATTCTTTTAACCANAAAAAAAAAAAAAAAAAAAAAAAAAAAAAAAAGCATAGCAGCCGTACCAATTAGAAAATAATGGAATAACAATGTAAGTAGTAATAAACCCATAAAATATTTTAAAAGGTGCAAAGCCTATGCTTATGAAGAAAATAAAAACTGTATTAAAATGAAAGCCTTAAAAATTTTCAGTGTAAGACTCAATACTGAATAAGCGAAAATAACAAGAAGAGCCAAGGAATGACCACGACATTTTTTAAATTAAGACTTGGAGAGTTTTGGGACCAAATATAAAAACTTATGAGTATAGCGAATTAGATATTGGTACAGACAAAAGAGGAAAACTAGAAAAAGAGATCAATGAAATAAAGCACAAAAATATGAAGGAAGAATTAGCTACACTGGAGTGACCCACGATGCAGAGGTTCATAGGGCACATTATCCTAAAAGTGACGGTAAATTATTGAAGGAATATAAAGTTTATATTATTTGCTGCTGCTGCTGTTGTTGCTGCCGCTGCTGAGGGGTAGATGAAATCATGGTATTTCACAATCTGGCTATGTTATGAAAAGGAATTTGAGGTGGAGCAAGAGTAAATGTGAGACCAATGCAGAGGCAAAGAAATGATGAGAAGGGAGACTGGTGAAAAAAAGTAGAAAAACTCAAGGCATAATCAGGAGGTAAACTCAACAGGACTTGATGACAAACATACAGAAGTTAGGGACAGGAGTCAAAACAAATTTCTATGTTTCTGGTTTGCATTACCAGTTGGATACTAATTCCATTTTTAGACATAGGAAGATGATCAGATTTGGGAAGGGAAGGTTATTCATTTAGTTTCAGACATGCTGAATTGGAGATATTTTAATAAATGTCTTAATAGTTACATGCTTTCACATTTTGGAAATGCCAGATGATGTAAAATGTCTACGTTTTTAAGAAGCTGTTTCCACCTTCAAACAAAAATTAACATAAAGGACTGGAATATCTAAAGTGCCCAAAGACTATGTAAATATTGTAATAAATCACATGCTGAGATTGATGAACCCTGACACTAAATATTTTATCCTGAAGAGTATGTCTCACCTAGCTTCCCCCATGTCAGTAAATGACACCACTCACTCAGTTTCTCTGGCTCAAAGCTTAGGAGTCATCTTTGATTCATCTCCCTAATACTTCCATATCCATCAGCAAGCGCTACTAACTATAACTTCAAAATACATCGTGAATCCAAGTACTTCTTACAATTTCTATCACTCCCATCGTCAAATGAATGACCAAACTGTCTAGACTACTACTATAACTTAATAAAACTGGGGGCTTCCAGTCTCACACTCTATTAGCCATTCTCAACAATATCCAGAGTAGTATTTTAAAAAATTAAAACAAGCAAACAACAAAAAAACTTGCCACTCTCCTACTCAAAGTCTACAATGGATTCCCATCAACCTTTGAACAAAATTCCCCAAAGACATCACAGGTGTAGTCAGGCTCTTACTTATTTCCTGACTATCCTATTTCTTTTCCCTTGTTCAAGTCCACTCCAGAAACATCAACGTTCCTGAAATCCCTGACGCACAAAGTTCATTCTTGCCTAAGGACTTCTGTACTTATCTCTCTGTCTGGAATACTCTTCTCCCAGATATTCATATGGCTTGATGTCTCACTAATTGAAGTCCATCCTCAGATTTCACCTTCTCAAAGAAGCTGCCTTTGACTACCCTGTATCAAACAGCATTCCTGCTTGGGGGCTGGGTGGAAGAGCCTGAATGAAATCTGCAGCAGGCTTGCTATGCTAGTCTATCATATTAATCATGTCTTATCATTAAGACATTTGAAACAAGCGGATTAAGTCTAACTAAACTTGCAACCCAGGCTCAACAATCTCTATTAAGCAAACAACAACAAAAAAAGGCAAATCTTCTCTTGGGAGAAAAATCACATCAACTTCAACCCTTTAGTAGTTTTCATTCAATGTCGTCAAATTTTTTAAAAAGTTACAAGATCCATAAGAGGAAGGAAAAACAAATGTAACTAGAAAATTTTGACTGACACTCAATCGAAAAAAGAAAGAATCGGATCCAAAGATGACTGAGAAGTTGTAGTTAATTGGTAAAGATTTGGACTACATAATTAAGTAAAAAGAGGAAAAGATGAGTAAAAAGAGACTTTCAATTAAGAACTGAAATTTATAAAATATTTTAACCGGACATTCTAGAACGGAGAAGTACAATATTTGGTTTTTGTGTTTTTTTTTTAAAGACAGAGTCTCACTCTGTCCCCAGGCTAGAGTGCAATGGTGCAATGATTTTGGCTCACTGCAACCTCCGCCTGCCAGGTTCAAGTGATTCTCCCACCTCAGCCTCCTGAGTGTCTGGGATTACAGGTGCCTACCATCATGCCCTGCTAATTTTTTAATTTTAGTAGAGACAGGGTTTCACCACGTTGGCCAGGCTTGTCTCAAACTCCTGACTTCAAGTGATCCACCCACCTTGGCCTCCCAAATTGCTGGGATTACAGGTGTGAGCCACCACACCCAGCTTGAAAAATACAGTATTTGAAATTAATAACTAATTGAAAAATTAACAGGAAGATCTTACATAGCAAAAGAAATCTGAAGATGGATCAATAGAAATATCCAAAATGAAGTACAGAGGAAAAAGAAAGTGGAAAAGAACAGAAAATAAAGGCATATGGATACAAGCAATCTAACACATTTATAATTGGAATGTCAGAAAGAGAAAATAGTGTAGAATATGTGAAGAAATAACAGCCAAAAATATTTCAAAACTGATGAAAGACATGGACCTACAGATACAACCGGTCAGTAAACCCCAAGCAAATTAAATAAAATGAAAACCATATCTAGGCATATCATAGTCAAACTGCTGAAAACAAGAAATTTTTTTTAATGAAGAAAAATGAACTAAGATGACAGCACAAAATGATTCTTAAAAAATGAACACAGAGAAAATGAAAAATCTATAGGTAAATATAAGAGAACGTCAACTATTCAACAAGAATATTGTGGCATTTTTATACTGAAAATATACAACAACTATAGCACAAAGGATAGAGAAGCAGATAGAGTTGAATTGTTTTAAGCTTTTTGCATTGTTCTGATGGTGGCAAAAGCATTAATCACCAACTATAATAAGCCAAACATAAATACTGTACTTCTAAAAGAATAACACAATTGGGTTTAACTAAAAAGCTAATGGAAGAGATAGAATAATAAAAAATACTTTAAGTGAGCCAAAAGAAGGTAGGGAAGGAGAAAATAGGCCTTAAAAAAAAAAAATAACAAAATGGTAGATTTAAAATCAACTATATAAGTAACTACACTAGAGCTTAAACACTGTTAAAGAACAAAGATTCTCAGATGGCCGGGCACGGTGGCTCAAGCCTGTAATCCCAGCAATTTGGGAGGCCGAGGCGGGTGGATCACGAGGTCAAGAGATCGAGACTATCCTGG